ACCACTGATCAACTGTTCTCTCTCAGGATGATCCTAGAAAAGACTATGGAGCGTAAGATAGTCACCCACCATTTATTCCTGGACTTTAAAGCAGCATACGGTAGCGTTGATAGAACACAACTATACTATGCCTTGGAGGAGCTAAGTATCCTTTAGAAGCTTTACGCCTAATCAAGATGACCATGGACAGTTCGAAATGTAGAATACGCGTCGGTTCTGATGACTCTGAAGAGTTTAAAGTGAGCAGTGGGGTTCGGCAAGGGGATGCCCTCGCCTGTCTATTATTCAACTTGGCAGAGGAGAAAGCTGCAAGAGATTCCGGTATTCAGACCAGCGATATAATCTTCAATCGCCTGACACAGCTTCTTGGTTTTGCTGATGATATTGAAATAATAGGAAGGTCTGAACGGGCTCTCAGAAGCATTTATAGCCCTTGAAGCAGCTGTAAGACGACTTGGTCTAGAAGTCAACGAGAGGAAAACTAAGTATATGAGATGATGTAAAGATGGTTGACCGTTGATATAATATGAGAAGGAGTTAATTTGGGGGTGCGGTCAAATAAATACTAAATTAAAAAATAGTATTTATTTAATTTTTGTCTACAAATCATTTAATTTTTGCCTAGTATTAAATAGATATTATATTTTAATTTAGTATTTATTTGACCGCACCCCCAATTAACTCCTTCTCATAAGAATATGAGAGTTGGTGGTGAGGTGGATCTGAACTCTCCATTTGAGGTAGGTTTTTCTAATTTTGAGAGAGTAAAAAGCTTTATATACCTTGGGTCTGAAATAAATAGCAAAAATGACATGGCTCAAGAAATACAGAGAAGGATCACGGCTGCCAATCTTTCTATCAATCTTGGGCACGGAGTGCCCATTACCTAAGGTAGATAATGCAAGCACCTTTCTCAAGAAATTTTATTGCCCTCCTCTTCTATAAAAGTAGAATTATAAAAATTTTAGTTCAAATAAAATTAGACTTGATGTGGTCTGTTCTAGGTTTTCTCTCTTGTTTCTTGATTTGACAGTGCCTCAAAACTGTCATCCAACAAAAATATGATTCACAAAAAATGTATGCGTAAACTGCGGAATGTCACTCCTAGGAGCTCTTACATATAAATAACTCCATTGTTAATTATATCCATTATACCAAACTATAAACGAATCAACGGTTTTATTGATATTGAAAATCACAACGTGAAGAAGTTACACATTTTTTAAAAATAGTAATCGCATTGTTTTTTAAACTCATGTCATATGAAATTTGTAATAGCAATTTCAATGATCAAAAATTTATTTATTTCACCGCTGAGAAAGATATTACCAGTACCAGAACTAGGTTATTTGTCAGGAGGAGATAACCTAGCAAGACGGGTAGGAAGGCCGAGGACGAGATGGTTGGACAACGTGGCTTTTGATGCGAGAACCCTGCTCAGCGTACGGAACTGGAGAGCTTCAACAGAAGATAGAGCCAACTGGCGGAGGCTTTTGGAGGAGGCTAAGTCTCGGTAACGGGATGTCGCGCAACATATGTATGTATTTGCGGGGGCATATTACCGCGTATGGAGAGCGTTCCACGGGTGGCGGATGTAGGAATGGTCGGTGGAAATTCTTTTCGGCTAAGTCCGATGGACTCGCTGACCAACAACGAGTGGGGCACTCCAGACTTGCTAGAGGGTGTGACGTAGGATTGAACGCTCTACTAACATACCTTTAGTTCACTATACACCACAAATATTCATGGATCTCCTAAAACTAGTCCCCCGTTCAGGTCTCCGGCTGGGGACTGCTTTAGGGGATTTATGGCGGAAGTAGAAAAATAGGGATTTAGGTATTGGCACGTGGAGCGTAAGGAGTTAGAATTCAGCAGGGGGGTTAAAATTGGTCGCGGATAAGGCTAATGGGTACAATTTAGATATCGTGGCTCTGCAAGAGATTTGCAGGGCCAGGGCCTGGTACAGAGGAAGTGGGAGTCATTATTTATGTATCGGGTTTATAATTAAGAATAGATTGCTATCCGCTTTGAAGGACGTGGAATTCATTAGTGACAGAATTTCAGTAGCCATATTTCAAGGGTGTTGGTTTAAAATCGCGACAATAAACATACATTGTCCGACCGAAAACAGTGACTGTTTAGGCAACTTTTCAAATTAAGGTAAATAACTCTCATGAGTTTTTAATAGATAAAATTCAAAATTATGGGTAACATTCCACATTTATGCAGTGGACTGTATTTTAATGGATTGGTAGGTTATACTGATTGTGCAAAATTAGCTTACCGTCTCCATACCAGCGTACATCTTTTGGTTATCTTGAGGGCCCTCAAGTGCCGTTGTTGGAGCTGTCTCGGTGGCCAACAGTGGAGGAATGGGTCCGAGAAATCAGCAGCTCTTGAGGATTAAGTGTTATCTTTTAGATCTTCTGATCTGCCCCTACCACTCGCCGTAACAGGGGAAATTCAAATCATTTTGGCACAAACATATCTCATTTAACACCATGAAATATCTCATTTCAGAAACAAAAAAAAAAAAAGAAAAAACCAAACTAAGAGATTGGTCATGACCTGGCAAGGCACAAATGAGAGGAAAATAGCTTGGTTGACCTATCAGAAAGTGTCCTGGGATGAGGTAATCTAGGTTATCCGATGGCTGACTGCTTGTGTTGCAGATAGTACAGGAATTGAAAACGGCTTCAACTCGTAACAGAAGAGTATAAAATTCCTCATATGTCAACGCATGATACTGGAGAACGGCAAGAAGGTTTCTCTTACAGATTTAATAGCTGCCTCTCAAATACTACCGAAATGAGGAGATGCTGGAGGAGTAAAGGTCCACTTTATAATCGTCCGACCCAAATAGTCAGAAAAGGGTTCGCTCTGGCCCTTAACAAATTGATAAAGCTCCTTCAACTTCTTGGATGCTCCAACAAAATTTGTTCCGCAGTCACTATAAATATGAGAAATAAAGTCTATTCCAACTCATTGAAAGAAACGACCCTCGGTCACCCTGAAGACGGTAAGTCACTCATTTACGGAGCCTGTGGTTTCGCATTATTTTTGTGGCACGTAACACATTTATAAATCCGACATCTAACGAGTATTCTTAGAGGAGGGATCCAAAATATGCGATGAATGAGCGACTGGACAAACATAGGGTCACCATGCAAGGAATACCTGGGGTAATGATTACACAAAAGGAATGCTAAATGACAATCTTTAGGTATCAGCAACGAGTGCTTACTTTTCTCTTTGATTGTGGAACACTTCAACTACCTCCCACCCTGAGAGCTCCGTCCTTATCCAAAAATAGTGTGAGCCTCTTTAAGGACCCTTATATGGTTTGCCACCTTCAAGATAACCAATTAATTCAAAGAAGGATTTCCTCTGAACAAGTCTGACATAAATTATCAAGGAATCCTTCAGATCGCAAGCAGTCAAGGTTCCAGCAGCAAAACCATCTTGCTCCCGATTTCGGCAAAATTTAAAAATGGAAGCAAAAACTCTTTGCAACATTAAAAGGTTCGAATATGTTTCCAGGCAAATCGTTAGGTTTTTTAGCCGCTTAAAGAGATATTGTTTTTACCTTAGGCAGGACGGATGGAGACTCAATATGGTAAAAAAGCCAATCAGAAGGAGGTAACGAAATAAATGTTGGGCCATTCCAATAAAGCTCATGCGAAAGTATCTGGTGTGCTGTGAGGCTTCTCAATAAACAATCGGCTGGATTCTGTTTTGTAGGAATATAGAGCAAACAACTAGGTTCTACAACTCCCAAAATCTGCACTCCGCGATTGGCATCATACATCTTAAGTTCATGTGGCGGTGTCTGTAACCAATAGAGTACGTTACGAGAATCTGAAAAACAATAAACATCCTCTATTTTTAAATGACTTTTAAGTTTACCAATACAACTGTGGAATGGAGGCAAGAAGAGCAATTTAATTTAAAACGAGGCACTGTTTGGACCTTAAGTGGGGCCACCTTACTTTTTGTCCTTAACAAATGAATTTTGGTAGCTTCTCCAGGCTACCCAACTCTGAAAAGGCGATTAGTTGCATGGATGAAGCATTCTGGCTGATAATATAACGAGGCAGGCAACATTTTTCAAGCTCGGAAATTCGTCAGGGAAAATCTTCCACAATGAAGACACACTAGAGGAAAAATCATCATCCTAATCAACCATAAGCAGCCACAAACGTTGTAATAGGCATGTAACGGAAAAAATTACCGGACTGATATATCCATTAATATCGACAATTTAGGCAATGAAGGATAGAATACCTCGCTTTGTAAAAACAGGCTCACTTTTCTGTATTGAATACCTGAAATGATCGAGTTCACGATCCCAAAACAAAGCCAAAACCTTAATAGTCGAGGAACTTCCATCCAGGCACAATGGAATTTCTTGACTAGCCTCGGGTATTACAGAAAGTACTTCATCGGAATTGCTGGAGAACTTTTTGAGTTCAAACCCACCTGCTCTAAATAAGGCCATCAACTCACTGTATAGATCCAGAGCCTCATCACTATTGCTCATCACTATTTATATCTACATAAATCTGGTCATAACACTGGGCAGCTTTAAGAAAATTATGGCCTTCTTCCCGAAATAACTGTAGAATGACTCTCTGAGCAATAAAGAACATTTCAACACAAATGGTAGGGTAACCAACTCATACTCCTGAATTGGCTGTGAAAATTCACTTCTCCAATAAAAAAAAAAAAAAAAAAAAAAAAAAAAAAAAAAAAAAAAAAAAAAAAAAAAAAAAAAAAAAAAAAAAAAAAAAAAAAAAAAAAAAAAAACCGCAATAAGTTTTGATTAGTTTCGGCAATGCGAATACACCTAAACATCATTTTTATATCGCATGTTAAGGCCAGGAAAACAACTAAAATGATCTATAATTTCCGTAATATCAGTCTGGAGCTGCGGACCGGTCTAAAGCAAATCATTGTGTGAGTTTCCTGCCTCCATCTTCTCCGAACGGTTAAATACGACTCTAGGTTTTGTCGTGGATAACACCATGATGGGTCATGACGTATAGAGAAGGGTTCTTGGCGATGCAGACATGATCCCATCTTACATATTCATCCATCAGTGCAGCATAGGCAGACTTATCCTTCGGACCTCTACTAAATCTATTTTACAGATTTCTAAATCTTTGTAGAGCTATCTCTCTGGTGGAATCAAGGTCAATCGGCTGGTCAGAACGGAACGGAATCGAAACAACAATTCTACCCTGGAGATCACGAGTGCATGTATTTATAAAGTGATCTTCGTAAAATGCATCTTCAATATTCGGCGGAATCGAAACTGTGGCTTCCTCAATCTTTCAAAATAGCTTTAATTCCTCCTGTAAGCAAGGGCTGGTCTGCGTGAAAAAGTACGTATTGAAGGTATAGGGTTTTGGCTTTCCGAGAGGGTGTCCCCAAATAATACCATCCTAATGAGGTATGAATAGCTTTCGGTTGACCCTTAAGAAATAAAACAGAGTCACTTAAAATCTCACCGTGCATCTCAGCACCCAGAAGCAAATCAACTTTTCTTGGCGTATGAAATTGAGGGTCTGCAAGTTCTATTGACACAAATTTATTCCGTACTTTTTGGGACACGGCAAACTTCCACTTATGCAGGGCAATACTCTGGCTGAAAACGTACATATATTTCTATTTTTCGGTGAACCTAACTTCACTTTAACCTCAGCAGAAGATGAAGATATGGAGGTATTACCTACTCCAGACACCACAAGAGGACTAACCCGGGAACGCAGGCTCAACTTTTTCATTAGATCAGTGGTAATTAAATTAATTTGTGAACCTAGATCTATCACTATTCTGCATGAATACAACTGACCTGAACTTGAACAAATTCTACATAAATTATTTCTGGTGATTCTTTTTGCCACTAACTTGGCAACAGCCCTTACTTTGGCAATTCGGCAAGCGATGAGGCCGCGACACGAATATGCTGCGGCAAGTTAGTCTTTTGTAAATTGTAAATCTTACAGTTAAAGGTGTTACTGTTTGTACTGTCTGTTATTGATGTTGTAAATAATTTTCAAGTCTAGTTTGTTTTCCAAGTCATCACGAAATTTGTCCAAGTTTACTCGTCCTGTAATCAATTCAGGAGATGGTGGTTTAGCTTGAATGTAGTGAAAGCAGCACTGGACTATGGTCTCAAGAAAGGTCATCGAGTGATTTGATTAAGGTTTGTGAGAAGGAAATCTGGGAGGTGATAAATATATCCAGGATATCGGGACGTTTTTTAAGTGATGTTGGCCAATAAGTAGGACTCATGGGCGAGAGGGGAAAAAAAAAATTAAAAATCAAAGTTAAAATTATCGGACTACCAACGCGGATTTAGACGGAACTATTCGACAATTGATCAAATATTTTCTTTACGGCAAATATTGGAGAAAAAATTAGAGTATTGTTTATCAGCTGTATATCGATTTCAAAAATGCTTACGATTTTATTAACAACCAGAACCTGTACAATATTTTAATCAAGCGGGGGATTCCAAAAAATAAATATAGTTAATCTAGTTAGGATGTGCTTGACGGAAACGCTCAATAAAGTTAGAATCGGTAATTATTTATCCGATAAGTTTGAGATTCGTTCAGGTTTAAAACAAGATTATTCCCTTTCTCCCGCCCTGTTTAATTTGGCACTAAAACATGCTATTAGGGAGGCAAAGCGTACAGAAAAAGGATTGAATCTGGCTGGGATATAACCCGTGCTCGGATATGCGGATGATCTGGTCCTGTTAAGCGAATATAAGGAAACTATAAAACTAAATACAACAACGTTGATGGAAGCTGGTAACAACATAAACAAAGTTTTACGATCTACTAACCCTAACTTACGACTTGCATTCAAATCTCACAACACTCTTTCTAAATTATACACATCCCTAAAAGATCCTGTTCCTCTCTCACACCGTTCTTATATCGTTTACCGTATTCCGTGTTCTAGCCCCAATTGTTCTTCATCCTATATTGGTGAAACCAAAAATCTTCTAAAAGACCGCATCACCCAATATAAATATTCTGTATCCTCCTGTAATTTTAACGCCTCCAAATTATATGAACATTATCTCTCCCTTAATCATTTGATTTTGATAAAACTTCCATCCATGTCTTCGTCCTTAACCATGACAAACGACTCATTTCTGAAACCCTCCACATCTAGCTCCAACCAAAGACAGTGAATCTAAAAACAGACAAACAAAACTTCCTTAGGCTGTTCTCATAGTAAAAGTAGAAGAATCCCTTTCAACACCTATCCCGCTCTCCTTACCACCTAAAGCTGTTAATCCCTCTGAAGTCAAATACCTTTTACGGAAAATCACTCCTCGCAAATCTTCTGGATATGACCTTCTAACCCCACAGATCCTTCGACAACTTCCATCCAAAGCCATCATATTTCTCGCATATATATTCAATTGCATCCTACGAACTACCCACTGCCCTCTTTTATGGAAACATTCCACCATCGTCCTCTTCTTGACACCAGGCAAACCTTCCAAAAATACAACATCCTATAGACCAATTAGCCTATTCCCAATCCTCTCAAAAATTCTTGAAAAGATCCTACTGAAACGAATTCTATCTATAATCGAATCCTATAACCTTCCTACTCATCAATTCGGATTTCGTTCCCAACATTCCACTGTCCAACAAGGACTCCGAGTTGTTGACCATATATCCTCAACCCTAGAAAGCAAGCAGTATTGCTCGGGTGCATTTCTGGACATAGCGCAAGCTTTTGACCGGGTATGGCACGCCGGATTACTCTTCAAGCTTAAAATCCATCTACCACAGTCCTTATACCTAGTACTCCGATCCTATCTTTCCGACCGCTCCTTCCGAGTTCGCTGTGGCACCGAATTCTCCGACTGTTACTCAATTGAGGCTGGCGTTCCTCAAGGCAGCGTCTTGGGCCCCATCCTTTACATTCTCTTTACCGCTGATATTCCTGTCCATCCCGATACCCTCCTGGCAACTTTCGCTGATGACACTGCTATCCTTTCTTCCAACTCAGATCCTGAAACAGCGTCCGCAAACTTACAAAGGCACCTCTTCCTGATTGAACACTGGTGTAAGAAATGGCGCATTAAGGTAAACGAATCTAAATGTAAACACATTACCTTCACCCTTCGGCGTAATACCTGCCCACCAGTTTATTTTAACTCCATCCAGCTTCCTTTCTCAGATACAGTCCGGTATCTTGGCTTTCTCTTAGACAGACGACTAACATGGAATCCACATACTCGACTTAAAAGACAGGAACTTAACAGACGATATGGCCAGCTATATAGACTACTGAATAGAAAATCTAAACTTTCTGGTGAAAACAAATTACTGATCTACAAGACAATACTGAAACCCATCTGGACTTACGGACTAGAACTATGGGGAACAGCCAAATTTTCTAACATCAAACGCATTCAATCCTTTCAGTCTAAAGTCCTCCGTACAATAGTCAATGCTCCCTTCTATGTAACCAATAAAACCCTGCATGATGACCTTAACACCCATTTATTATATATATATATATATATATATATATATATATATATATATAAGCCATAAACGATAATAGGAACTATGTTACTAGTAGGATTAACAAACCATTGTATATGAAAACAAACTGTTGCTATATATATTGGCTGAAGTAAATAATAAAGTCAGTTGCTCACGAACAGCGTCGTGTACTGTTACTATGCAACCTGTGTACTGTTACTATGCCCAAAACCCCTTTTTTTCGATCATTCTTTCAGTCTAATCGTAAGTGGTGCCGAAAGCCGGGAGGAATTCCGAATTTTTATCGCGCGGCTAACAGTATCGTGAATTTCGGAAAAATCACTAGGCGAACCCAAGCAAGCTTCTAATCAGGTTACGGATAACAATTACGATGGAAGAGGAATTGAAAAAACTGGAGTATCAACTTGCTCAGTCTACGGTGGAGACAGAAATTGGAAGCGGAGAGTCAGAAACTAGAAACTCAACTATCGAAAGCGACCGAAAACACACAGATCGAGTTGCTTAAAATAAGGACGCAGAACTCGGCATTTATCCACTAGGTAATTAGCCAGCTGGAACCATTTACGGGAGTAGTAGGTGACCTCGAGCATTTTATCAAAGGCGGCGACCAAATTAAAACTTTGATAACCACCAGACAGGAGACAGGTACATTACTGGAATCCGACGTAAAAATACTGGAGGCCTCTCTGATTGGTCGTATCTCGCGGCGGGTTTTAAACGCCGTACAGGGCGATTTGACGGTCTCCTGGGAGACGCTGTAGATACGGCTCAAGAAGCTATAGACGGACTGGTAGGAGAGGCGGAAGACGCTACACCAGCGAAGAATCTTCGGAAGACGAAAGCATCCGGTCTGGGCGCAGTGGTCCGACAACGAGAAGGCAAGAAGTAAGTGGAGATCTCTGGTGAGATCAGTGGGAATCTCTGGAGGGGAGGACCTCAGGAACGGAGATAGCGGTAGGACGCTCGCGCTCGGACTGAGGACGCGGTAATGAGAGGGGCAACCAATCGAGGAGTTTAATTATTAACAACAGCACGAATACAGGAAGGTGGACAAGGTTACCCGTGGCGAGACTGAGAGAATCCGGCATCAAATTTGTAATTGGCACGGGAAGCACGAACGGCTAAATCAGTAGAGGGGCGGCGGAAAAACTGGGAATCTGGGCTAAACGGGAACGATGCGATTGTGCTGTGTCAACGATTAATGGCATAGGTCAGACGCTGGGGGAGACACTCTTTGACCTCAAGGAACTCACGGGACGTGACTCGCGGATCACGATACATATAATTCCGCAGCTGATGCCGGGTCATGATGTAATAATCGGGTGTAACATTTTAAACTGCGCTGGGTTTAAGATTAAGAATAAGGACGAGACTTGGCGGTATAGAATAGGGGAACGACACTACGAAGTAAAGATGATAGGAACAAGCGGACTCATGGAAGTCGGGGCCGTGGATTGCATCAAAGACTCGCTAGCGAACTTAGTCGGGCAAAACGAGGAGTTATTCTACCGCGAAAACGAATACCTACCAACAACTGGGCGAACGGTGCATAGAATAAATCTGAAGTCGGAAGCCCCAGTTTACGTTAAAATCGGCGTTACCCTCAAGCCATGAGAGATATTATCGGAGAACAATTGGGAGAACTTCTTAAGCAGGGCATTATCAGACAGATTAATTCCCCCTTTAATAGCCCTCTGTGGGTGGTAGAAAAGAAGCAGTGCGGGCAGGGCGGCAACGCGAAACAGTATCGAGTCGTAGTTGACTACAGGAAATTGAAACAACAACATGGGCGAAAGTACGAGAAAAATTAATTTGAGAAAAGCAAACCCGGGTGGCTAAAGCAAATAACCGACCCATAGTTTATAGAAAGGGCCCGTTAGCCCTGGGAACCATAGTGTATAGGCGATAACGGACCACTCGCACTAAAACAGCTGCGAGGTATGAAGGGCCGTATAAAGTCATCACCATACGGGAGAATAACCTATTTACTATCAGGGATGTAAATTACCCGTTTCGGTCACGTACGGTACACCTTGAAGAGCTTCGGGTACCTCAGATGATGCCAGAAAACGAGACGGACGGCGGCGCCGAGTCTGGAACATCTCACGGCTAGGAAGCTTTTCTTTTCTTTCTTTCTTACTTTCATTTTTGTTATGTTTTAAGCGATATTGATTAACTCGTAGTCGATATCATTATACAAGTAGAGTGTAAACAACATTTTTTTTTTAAGACAAATTCCA